TAAGATTTTCAGTAAATTTCTTCCATGCGACCAACGGATTAGCTTCTTCGTCATAAGAACAACCCGCGGTAGCTGATGAATTTTTTCATTAATCTTGGGAATATTGATGCTTGGGTTTTGCAAGAGAGTTTTTCCTCGTTCCAGCTCCGCGGGCCATTCCTGTGCAACGTACTATAATGGCAGCACTCAGTTTGGAATTAATGGCATTTCACACCCACAGGGACATATTTTCTAGAATAAATCAGTTTAGCGTCATCGAAATCTGTTTGGTTTCTTTATAGGGTAATAAGGTTTACTCACATCACGCCAAATTTAATTAACCTAAGTGGTTTAGCCCCCGAGAAAGTGTGGAATAACCCGGTTGGATTCGTGCAGTTTATTAGCGGCACAACTTGAAATGGTTCTGGTACACATCCAAGTGATGCCGAGTCAGCTTGATTTGTGAGCGAACTCACTGAAAACATACGTGAGCTTACACGATGTTCCTAATGTACATATATGTGATATGCAAAATCCTCTCATACTGTTTCGTCGTGTTTCCACTTCTGCTGTCTAGTTTGCACACGTGACTTATGTTCACGTGATACATTCGATTGCCCAAACTGTTATCCTCAGACGAGGGTTTGTCGTAAAGCCGAACACGGTTCCTAGTTTGTTTACGCTTGAACAGAATTATCCTCGTTTGCACGTTTGAACTGCATACAAACGACTGTATTGTCTATCGTTTTACCTTTTTCATTTCAGCAATCTGAAAACTCAGTTAATATAAATAATAAAACTCCGGATAAGTTATATATTTTTGTACTTAATCTGTGCTCCATCTTTTGATTTTTCCCGTGAATTTCCTCGCTCCCAAACGACGGCTGGACATGAAGCAACGATCACAGTTACGAAGTTCTTACTCACCATTACATGATCGTGGTATTAATCCGGTATTCCTTCTCAAATGGATATTCGTTGTAGTCGAATAAATATACTAGACTCAAATCGACTCTGTGAACGTCACATAACTGATACTGCACACAAATTTGTTTCAAAGACGCATCTGGCGGAGTATGTCTGTGCAAACGGGCAAAATCAATTATGCAACTCTAAATTGTCAGATGCGATGTGAATTTTGTAAACCTCTTCTTCTCTCTCGGTCTCTTACCCCAATCGGTTTCTCACGTGCCCAGCATTGGAACCATGCGAATGACAACCTGTAGCATCTGTATTTACAAGTGGAACTTGGTTTGGGGTAAACGCACAATGACACAACTCATTGTCCGAATCACGTTTGTTCATCGCTAGATTCAGTACTATAGTGCATATGTCAGCACATCACACACCTAGATTACACGAATATCTTGGAAAATTCCCATCTTGGAATAGAGAGAACAAGCTCGTCTCGATAACTTCTTCGGGCTTATACAGTTATATAGTTAAATTAAAATTTGCTTCAATGTCTGCCTGTGATTCGTCGTATGTGATTGTTTTGATGTATGGTTCAGAAAGGGTGGGTAGGGAGGATGAGTTCGTAACACGGTTGGGAAAACGGTTAAGATGTGGACGTGTCATTACGTGTTTGGGTCGTGGGGTCATGGGAAAGGTCACGTCTATCTCGGAATATAATACAAAAAGTAAAAGTTGCAAACAGTGAAACGTGCGGTTCTGCATCATTCATATTCGCCGTTTTTACCCCGGTTGGTCTGATCTGTTCTCGTTGGTTTGTTGATAAATTGATTTACAACAAAAACGTGGACGATTTGAAAAATATTTACGTACTTGTCTCGAAACTTCATCCTGCCGCGACACAAAACGTTCTTCAAAGAGATTATGGGCTATATATGTATCTGCAAGGTCATGTGAAAACCGGAATCCATTGGGGGTGCGATGTTCAGTTCATCGGATTATATGCCATTCGGACGGGTTCAAGGTGCTCAATTGAGCCGGTGACCACTGCCACAATCGTCTGTGTGTAGTTCGTTCACTTCTCATTGATTGGTTTAGAATCACAGTTTTCTGACAACCCTTGGTGAAATGCTGGTGAAGTTCGCTTTTCGTTCTTTCATTTTGATGGAGGACTTGTCACCTGTACCACGTGAATTTAGTACGTAGGGTCTTCTCGATAAATTCTATCTGTGATGATTTCTCCTATAGGAGCCAGCGCGAAATGCATGATAAGGTTGAACAATCACAACTCGAGACATCCACCTTCCACTATACTGAGGCATTCGAAAGTGCTTGCTAAATACACTTCCTCTTTTCGCAATTCGTGCAGGTAAGAACTTCAGNACTTCAGGCCTCTGTTTGATCTAAGGTGTAACATGATGACGCATTCAAACCGATGTACCCTGTTCAGAATCAAATAACAGTTATCTGTAGAGTTTTCGAAAGACCCGCGGTCTCATTTGATTATTTAAAATGTATTGAGAAAATTTACGACCTGACCAGACCTGACCTAGACAATTGTCAAGTGTGCTACGAATCAGAGCTGTATGCTGCAGAACGCGTCCCCAGATCGTCGATAGGGGAACGGCTGTTATTTCATGGCTAACCGGGAATCAGGTTGGCTTAGGCTCCCTGAATAAGCGGTCGTGGACGGTCAGCGGCAGCGCTCTAGGATGTGGTGGGTTTACATCCTGGCAGGGGTTCTCCGCACAAATATCTGTGGACAGCGGTGTGATGTGGCGAGTTTGGCTCGCCACTAAATATGGTCATTGCCCCTTGTCGAGATCCACTGTTCGACGAGGCGAATGAACCGAAAACTGGCCACCGGCTCATCTGGAACATTACTGCTGCCTTGCAGTTCGCGCTTGGTTGCGCAAAGGCTAGAGTGCATCCTCGAACAAGGCCTACTTTGGACCGGCCGACCGAGTAGTACAATAGCCCGCAATGCTCATAACGATGAACTTTCCTGCTTTTATGACTGCACCCTAAAGTTTCCTCATCCAGCGAAAAACCTTCTACATCGTACACACTCATGTTTCCTCAGCCTCCCTCCATTTATCCTTTACCCCCGTCACATACCTCCATCCATCTCGAGTTCTTCAGACGATCGTACTAACAGTAGCGCCTCAGATGGAAACTCTGCCGCTTTTTTCTGGTGTTCTACCTCAGCTACCGTCCAATTTCCACCGAATCCTCCACCAGCTGAAGCCCCTCTTCGTCCTCAATATCTTTTCAAACCAGCCACGTTCAATGTGCGTACTCTGATGCGTTTAAGACAGCAAGCATACGCTCGCTCGTACGCTCGAAACCCGAACCGTCGACGCGTGTTGCATCCAATAAACTAGTATTCAAGGATCCGTCTCCATGATCCGGTTGATGTCTTCATCAAACCAATCTGCGAAGTTTCACTTACGCCTCTCTGGAGACCTCGAGGCTGTGGCTTCTGGTCTTGTTGTCTTTGGTTTGGCCTTCAGTGAGGGAGTTGAAGCCGCGCTTCTAGATTGGATCCCAGTCGATATGAATGCTAAAGTAGTAAACCGATTGACTTCGAGTGAGGCGCATCTGGGAGTTCTTTTCGGACTAAATTCCTGTCGCTCGGAAAACGGGGAACGCCTGTTCCAGCCACCACCTATTCCTAGCCAGTACGAACTTCAGACTATCTAACAGCCGGTGCGCTACTTGGCGTCAACCCTCCTGGAGTCATCGACGAACGCGGATCGACCACATCGCTATAAGCCCCAAGTAGTGGGGCTGCATACACGACTGCTTATTGTACTAAACCGTTCCTCTCGAATCCAATCACGCATTAGTTCGCACCAAGCTGTCCATATGCTTCGGTAGGCGTTCAAAATGCACGACACAGCGACGATTAGCTTGTGATACGCTGTCCAAACCAGCTTGCCTAATTGTATTTCAAACGCGCCAACTGAAAAGCTAGAACCAAACCCACCCGATAGCACTAATCAGCACTGCCATCAGAATGCTCGCATTCCGCTGGCTTAGTTAGTTGTAGTCCGACATGTCATGCCGTGAAACCCTGGATTTCTGCGGAGTCTCCTCTTGACGCACGTCGATCAATTCTGACCGGCATCAAGTATGATGAAATACAACTCGTAACAAGACGTGAACTTAATGCAATCCTACGCCGAGACTGCGAGATCTGGTGGACTCAACTCGTATCAGAGATAGAACGTGCTACCGCCATGAGAATTTCGCGCAAGGTGTTTCACCATAATGGGTCACCGGTGAGAAGCCTAGGGTGTGAACGAAACGATTTGCGAAGCTAACGGCTCGCCCATTCGTAATCAACAGTAACGTCTTGCGGAGCACTTTGAGACACAGTTTAGCTGGCCACAAGCGTCAGCTTCTCACAAAGCTACTTGGGCACACGTCCTTTGGTTTGTCTCAAGAGACCCACCTTCTGAGGCGGAAATCCGTAAGGAGATCCAAGCCTTGGGACGTCACAGTGCGCCGTGATCCCCTCCTAGTGCAGCGAATCAATTGTTGTCCTCATCTTCAAAAAGGGCCCACACAGTGACTGCGCCAATCACAGGGGTATAATCCTAGTCCCGATAGCGTCAACGCTGTTAGCGTCCGTCATTCTCGGTCTATTGCACAAGACACGTGAATAGTAGACGCGCAAGGAGCATAATGGGTTTCCTGTTGGTCGTGGATTCATCGATCAAATCTTCACTCTCCGGCAGTCGTTAGAGCACAGCCATGCCTATCAAAGACCAACGATTACTGTGTTCTTAGACATCCTCGTGGTGTTCGACTCTGTCGATAGGACCGCACAATGGAACTGTTTGCTTAGAAATGGAGTATCTAAGAGGTATGTATCGATCCTCAAAGAGTTGTGTCGTTGGTTAGGGACGCTCAGAGAATAAAAGTCAGTGGTGCAAATGCTGTACGGTCTTCCTGTTGAAATCTCGTTCCCCTTAAAAAACGATAAAATAACTCAAAAAATATCAAAAAGTGAACGGTAAAACAGAAAAATTGTTATGCCTGTTATCCATTTTAACTATTCAGCGTTCATTTCGCTCTGTTCTGTATTCTAATCCACTCATCCTCTGTTATTAATGTGGTGTCTGCACTATACTTGCCCGCAAGCAGGTGGTAGATATATAAATATATAACGAATCAGTTTGCCACTCTTCTTATTGAACAACACCGCTGACGGAGAACATCTTTTTCTCTTGTCAAGTGTCTTAAGAAACATATCTGATTACCCCGCTTGCTTCTCGGTCGTCTTATCCCTCATCTTATACGTTGTACCCAAATTTGAACTTCACCGATTGGAAAAAACTCATTATTGTTTAGAATTTATTGGAAAACCTACATTTGACCAACTGACTGGTGGTGGTGGTCAGGTGATTCAAGTCGCTCACTGTCATTGCCAAAAATCTGACTTGCGGACTTTGCCTCTGTGACTCGACTTTTGATTCTGAGGTTTATCTTGTCCAGTTTTTGGCACATGTGATAACATGCTTTAACTTATTGAAAATACCAAGTTGAGCAATGTTCAATAATTCCGAGGCCTTTTTTCCACGGGTATTGATAGATATGTAGAGTGAAAGTCCTACAGCTGACAGGGGTGGGGAGATAATTGATTTGTTAAGTGAATTTATCAAGTGCTTTCAACTACGGTTCCCTAGTCCTATTGCGGTTTTTTCATTGTCAGTATGTTTCAGGTTTCGAAACTAAATTGCCAGTGTTTCATATACGTCGAGGTTAGGGGATAAAAACAAACTTAACTCGGAGATTTACATTCGCCAAAAGGTTAACTTTTTTCGATGCTCGACGTAAATTTTGTCTGAAGCCCGACAAATATCACCGTTCTGTCCTTGTTGGGACTGATCTGTTTGTTGAATTGTATTTTTTTCGAGTTCGCTTGTTCCAAAGGGTGTGTGGGTCATGTGCGCTTTACCTTCCGTGCTTTGGAATCGATCGTTCATCATGTACCCAATCGTTACAATTTCTTGAAGCCATCCATCACTGCTCACCTGAATTTTGGTTAAAATGTCCTAACCCACCCAGCGGTCGGGTGTAGAGGTTTTCATAGTTGTGCGACCAGGGCAAACAACCATACCACGGGTAGGTGGACACTGTTTCGGTGCATCGGTTCACTGTTATTGTTGCAGTAACATGGCTTGACAGATCGTCACAGATTGCCACCATCCCTAACTGATACCGCCACAGCTAGGCGCACGTTGTCGTATACGTTTACCCGGTCGAAAGCGCAACGTTCCGTTCGAGTTTAAATTACCCGTAAATGTGTACCTCAACGGTTCAGTTAGGGTTTCTGTCTATATGATCAGTCTATTAGGAACGTGAACAGAGCGAGCAATAAAAAATACTTAACTCACTTGACTTGCATGGTTGTACAACCTTGTTCCACAATAATTTCGTTCGGTTTTCTGTTTATTCCATCTAGCTACTTTTACTCGTTAATCTTAATGCTTCTGTGGATCTTCTGTGTACACTTCGAGGTGTGCCGCACTTGTCACAGTTAAATTTATGCCAAAATCAAACACTTGATGATCCTCACCCCCTGTCTAAAATTGGCATCGTGGCCAGATTCGTATCAAGATAGGAAAATTGCAGAACTATATCCACTCCCCTCATGCGCGTTCGGTACACCGCAGCTTGCCAGTGCATATGCGATCGTGAAAGAGATAAAATGTGGTTTCTGTCGGGGCCCACGATTGGCTAAAGTATATAAGACCAAATATTCATCTATTGCGGAATAATCCCGTTTACATCGGATCTAATGTGCTTTTCTCGGAATCCCGGTTCATATAGCTTCCATTGGCATTTAACTATTGTATTGTGTTGTGGATAAATTTTGCAAGGGAATCACCACAACCGCGATCAAAACATCGTGTTTTCATGAATCACGAGTTTTCACTCCGTCATATCCCCTATTCGTGAATGTAATATTTTCAAGAAATTCCTAATCCTGTAGTAGAAATCTCCAAGGATGGTCCGTCAATCATCTCTAACCGGAGCTGATCTATGTGCTCATACCAATGAATATATTTTTGTTCTTCACACTACAGTTATATGATATGCGCTATTTCTATCTGCTCATCCAATTGCCAGGCCCAATGCAGTCAGCTGTCTGGTACGGCGGAATTGGCTGCCGCGACCAGCTTATCCGACGTTTGGCGTGCGGATGCTCTTCGTTGCCTGGCCAATCAGCTCCCCGAACTGGGTGCTCAGGTTGTGTTGGCAGGACGTGCGGTGGTTCTGTCGGCCGGCAAACGAAATGGCACCGNGGACCATGGAGCAAGCCACTGCCGATCATTTCGCCCTCATGCGACAACACTGGACAGACAGTGCAGAACGAATGCGTGCTTTGGTGGACGAGGCGGTTGACGCGAATGCCTTCATCATTGCTCAAGGTTCGAACTAGTGTGTGTGCTCATTTTCTACTTTTTGTACTATTATTACTACTCTCTCTGGTTTCCGCTCGTTTCCATATTCTTCAACGGGCCCAATATGGTCTTGAATCAGGCGATATTTAGGACATTTCCAATTTGGTGTGTATAGATGAGATCACCTAAGTGCTGATTCCCCTAATGTTTGTGGGTTTTGTCTCAACACAAATCACAATAACCTGAAAATAAATTTTACTGGGAATGTTTTTCGTCGTATTTGGCGTCTATACTTTGAACCAGTGGGACGTTAGAGTGTTAAACGCTTCCAAGTTGACCATGCAACAATCAACGTGTTACATTGAGTCGAATGAAAAACGTTGCAGTCACTCGGGGTTGTAAACCCTGTACGCTTCATTTCATTTATCAGGAGTGCGTACGCTACGTGGAGCTAATTGCAGAATGACTCAAATAAATTCAAATTGACTTGCGTGCTTGTGTGCCTTTGTATCTGGATGATCGTGACCCCTTTTGCTTACGGTAATATGCATCAGGTTCACTTGTATATGAGGCCCATTCATTATTGTCATCCATTTTCTCTATCTGGCTCAAATCGATTTACAATTGCGCTTCGATTTTAGAAGAAATTTGTACTCTTCTTATCGTTAAGATCAATAATATAGTTCTATGTGAATGATGCACATGTCAGTGCATAATTGATCCGATTATTTCGCAGTTTGCACCTATATAGTACTATTCCTTCTTTGTTCTTTTTCCGGCTTCTTTTGAGTTGATTGTTTTTTTTTAAATTTATATCTGGCAATTGTTCTTGGTTTAGCTTTATTCGAGCAGAAAGTTTTCTCTAAGTTAACGTCGTAGAAGCACGTAATGCGCGTACACACACAGTCGAAATGGATATTCCTCCGATCTGATTGTCAAACTATTTCCTCTCATGCCCGGCATTCGTCCTTCTCCTACCCACGTCCCCGTACATTTCCCTTCACTCGAGTTGTGTATACTGGTCTGACGGCAAGTGGGATGTTTTCGTGTGTGTGTGTGTGTGTGTGTGTACACACAGTAAGAATGAAAAGGCCGGGGGAGGGGGAAATGGCGGAAGCATTCCAAACATTCCTCTCCTCTACGTCGACCTCGCGTGTAATTTTGCTTCATTCGCCTTCAGAATCATCCGGAATAGTAAGAATTCCGAATTGAAGATGGCCGAATTTCAGGTACTGTTTGATTCCCTCGTTTTGTGAATATCATTGCAAAGAGATCGGAGACCAAAATCAAACTAAGAATGTAGACAAAGAGTTTGAAATCAGACTGGCCATACGGAGCCTCAACATGTCTGGAAAACGGCACGCTTGGACCTATTGCGGACAGTCCTTTGCTACGCTACTTTTTACCCTGGGAGGACGGGGCAAATTTTCCTTACAGAGCAAGTAGTTGACATAGATTGGATAAAATTGAATACCATTATTTCAACTGGTCGCTTTTCATGATAAACTCTGAATCGTACGGCAGCATTTCTTCTCTCAGTGGAACGTATTGTTTATTCTAACGGAAGCAGAACGATATTTCGGGTATGCAACCCAATAAAGCGCTGGTTAGAACTGGTACAATAAACTAACGGGGAAACGGTTTCTCCCAACAAAAATTGCATGTCCATTTTTTGCCTTTTTTACAGGCCATAAACAAACGAGATCGGCTTCGCTTTCATTTGATCATCGCCTATGATCTTATAACCCGTTGTGTCAAATTACTTGAATTTACACTGCTAATAAACACGCTGGCCTTCGTCCAAAATCTGATTATCACAATCCCCTCTCGCTCTCACGTTTCTAAATGTTTATCCGTTTCCTCCCATGTTTTACTAGTCTTCACTGCTCACTGAATAGTGTCCTCCCCGCCTGCGCCGGACTTTATTTCTTGTTTCATGTTCCTACTTCTACAAATTGGTATACTGGCAAAGGTTACAATTCGCTGCCATGTATACGCGTATGGGGTTTATACTTTGCATAACATCTGTCAGATTTCAAGCTACACTGTATGTGTGTGTCGGTCTGATGCGTTTTTGTCGTTGCGTAGACCGAGACTGGTTAGGTTGTTCGGTTCGGTGCATCTCAGCTCTCGCATTTAGACCATCCCCAAACGCAGATTCCAACAACTAGTATATACGGTCGTATTCTGTGATTGGTCTTCTTTTCCGTAGTTTCAATAGTCGACACTCCTGCGCGCGCGCACACACACACACAAGATCGGATGCAACGATCAGATAGGCGTACGAACGAGTGCATGGGAACCTGCAGCTCAGTGTTCGAGATATTTTACTTTCCGTGCAGGTCACGTGTTCCATGACTGACTGGTTGACTGAAAATCGCGACAGCCGATGTTTGACCTGTTATCATTCCGTCAATAGAAAGAAGCCTTGTAGCTGATAAATTAACCTGACTTTCAGTGTTCTCCAACACTCACCGTTCACCGTAACTTCGATCTGTTTGCTGGAGGAGAACGAATAAGCTTTTCCCTAAGCACAACCTGAATTTCCAGTACATATTTTGCTCAGTTAATACTACTAAACACAGAAATTTGCTCTTATCTTGTCCACAAATACTCGAGGAAATCGTTAAAAGTAGAGAATCATTACGGGTTTGGAGATTCAGTCAGATTAGACCTCTTACTATCACAACAGCGACCACTTGACATAACATTAACAAGGAAACGTTGGGGCTACTAAACTCCATTGTCTGCAAACCAGCATCTACTGCATCATGCGCTCAGCATTGACGTGTTGCTCAAATCGAACGCAGAGACTGATTTTCCGCCACTAAAATTGGAATACGAGTAGCTGGTTAAGATGTTCATGACAAAGTGGTGAGGTTTCGCGTCCTTGACGTATCACCGCGTGACTGAGTTTGCTAACCTGACCGTTTTGAACTTTCGCTAGAACATACGACGGTGACAATTTAGAAAACCGAGACCGTGGCTTGGTGATTATTAACGTGCCGCTGTATTACTATCGGAGTACTGGGTGATTGAGTTAGTGATAGTTTCCGACACTTCGTCGTCAACTGTGTCCGTTGGCGCTTCGATCTGTTTGGCTCCAGTCTTTCAATGAGTTTGGTGGACAATATGTATCGGCTCATTGTTTGGTGTTTTTGAAATATGTGATCCACATAAATGGCTTGTGGCCACCTTAGAGAGTTACAATACTATCTCCTTTGAGATCGCGGTTGACTGTGAAACGATCCTTTTAATGACTCACCCAGTGGATTACTGCCGATCTTGTTGAAATCTCTCGCTATGGTTTAGATGTTTTTTTTTCTGATTTTTCCTAGAAATTTGTTTAGACAGTGTTAGAAGCTGTTTTTGCTTTATTCTTTACTGCAATCGGTTGGAGCGTATACTGATCCTGCAAATAAAACACGTTTCTTCTGTCTCTTGTTCACTTCGTATGATCCTCTGCTTCTTGCAGTACAGCGCTGGCCGTCGATTCGGACCCAGTCTAAGAGAATGGTTTGGGCTTTTCAAATCAATTCTCATAGTATAGCGATTTGGAGGACTGTGGCTTCAAGGTCTCCAGAGAGGAAGAAATCGAATATTGTCTGTGCTAAAACGGGGACTCAAGCGCGTGGTACAATTAAAACGCTGTAAATTAACACAGCAATTATGTTGTGATATGCGCTGGTGACTAGTCATGGGCTTGAGCCCGGTTGTACCTCATTGGTTAGATTGGGGCTTGTGAAAAGGGGATGGACGGTAGGAGTTCATCGGGAACACAGTTAAATGTGTTTTGTGCGTGTGCTCGTTGCCATTTGTAGCTGAAGCTCGGAGGGAGGATCGAGTGCTTCGAAGCACGGGTATGATCCAGAGTTCACGTTTCGTTTCTTATTGTATTTGTTGCTTTTTTGCTGTTATTCTGCGAGGGTAATCAAAAGAACGGAAGGCACTATGGAGCCTTCTGAATAGAGTCGAGGACATAAATGGTGTACTTTAGGCAATAATGATAGGGTTTTTGAGTTAATTACAATCAATTAGGATGGAGTCCGGTAGTGTGGGAAACAAATAGTGCCGATGTACTTATCGATTGCGGGGTTCACCATGTTGCACTACGTTCAGTAATGAACTCGCCCTTTGATGGCCCGTTTTTGCGCGCAACTTTTCCATTAGATTGTGATGAGGAATACCTTATTTCGACCAACATCTTCGCATATGAACGTGTTTTATTCGTCGGTATTTTCTCAGTCAGCCTTTGTATGGCTGCACCCTCCTTCCCGAAAGTTTATTGTACATTTCCATAGTCAATAAACAAAAGAGGAAGTAAAAACATTTATTTATTACGTCCCATGTGTTTCTTTTTGGCTTAGCTTAAGATGACGAGCACCTTGGGGAAAATGTGGCTCTAAACATAGAATCAATGGTTGGAGCGGCGCAGGTTTGAATTGTCTTCATATTAAGTTACGATTCTTCCGGATCCTGTTTTACTCCACGATGGAATCGAATGTTTTTATTGGTTTGTAGACCCTTTTTTGACGCCGTATTTATAATTATGGTACTCCATATTGCTATGTGGTAGTATTAGGCTTCTTTGTTTGTCCTATTCGCTGAGTTTGTTCAAAACTCAATATTTTTCGGCGAAACTATGCTACTACATCCTCTATTCCTAAAATTCAACCACTCATTAGATACTAGATATATCACCGCTTCCAATGAATCAGTTCACTCACGCTAACTTACCACATCTAAAATAGTTTCCGATGCTTAGATTACCCTGAGGTCATACAAATTTAGTATCTAATATACGTTTTCCACTTTCGGGTCATCAGCGAAGCTACACACACCTCATCCATTGCAATGATTACTGGCCTAATTTTCACCGTTTTCAACGGTTCTGGGGCATTTATATCTGAACTGCAACCAGTTCTTTTGCTGTCGTCTTAATCTGACTAATTTTTCCATTATGGCCTCTGTCCCCTTCCCTCCCCCGCCCCCGTTCCATTCCACAGAAGCCGGAATGATTCGGGACTCGGATCGGACGGAAAAAAGTATTCGTGACACACATACAACCGGTGTGGTCGATGCGACAACCAGTATTGCTCGACGTGCGAATCGGGTTCTTCAGGTGGCTACACGCGAAGCAGATAACAGCGAAGATTCCCGATATGTGGACCGAATGAATGATGCAGTGAAACAGCTTCGTTCCAGTAAGTGACACCAAACTAACTCCCGGTTCACTGAGTGTTTCAATGCCGTGGAATGTGTATGTATTGGTTTTGTCAAGGTTCAGCTAGGCTCATGGGGAGCACAGTCGGCTAATAAGGCGATCAATGATACGATTCCAGCTGATGTAGTTGTTGGAGAGAGAGAGTATCGAAAAATGTTTCATCGACCACCGTGAACGGTCTCATATCTAGTCCAATTTAATGAGCACTTGATACGATTCGAATCCGCCACATTTCAAGAGTTGCTTGATCACCTAAGGATCAAAGTTTAGTTAGTCACAGAATTGCAACCGATCGATTTTTTAATCGTCATATCAACTGCACAATTATTTACAACGACTTAATGTTCATAGCTTTGTAGATATAAATAATTTATTCAAATTAAAATCAGTTTTTCGGTGCATCATTTCTATGTCTAGTGTGCACATTGCTTCGAGTCTCCGAATTTTTGTTTGCTAAATATGTAATTTTGTGGAAGCATCGATTGACCGAGGCAAACATCTGTCAACAACTAATAATGCACATTTTAAATACTACCTCATTCAATTCAGCACTAGTAAATCTTACGGTGCGTACACGTTCCTTTCCATGGTGATCTCCCTCTCTCACCCGACTTGTCTTTTGTGTGCAGATTCCTTAGCCCCGAGACAACTTTTACTGTGATTTCCGTTTTCCGTTTGGGTGTATACCTCCATCGCTTTCTTCATTATACCCCTCTCCATAAACCTGTTCCCTCCTTTACGACACCATTTTAATTTATATATGAGTGCATCTTTCTCCTGTTACCATTCCCCTATTTGTGTTAGTCTGTTTCTTAATTTCACTGTGCCACTAGCTTTATCACTATGATGCCTCTGAACAAATCGGTGCAGTATTATTGACGAATTACTGGCGAGTCCGGGAAGCTCAGTCACTATCGGGTATTTTCTGGGCAGAAAATTATCCGAGTTTTACACTTTCACTTAGGGTTCAGTGGACTTCATCGGAACAACCGGGGTTAATTTCGTTAAGTGGTATCTCGCCAATACGAAAAGTTTGGTGTTTCCACCATATAACTAAGGATTTCTGTTGCATAAATAGACCAATGCGGTTCTTGATCGTACCGGGTAGTATTGTTGTTGCCCGAACCACGGAGAAAGCAAAGATGTTGGTCGTGCAGAGGTCGTTGTCCGCATGCAGGTGCTAAAATAATTCCGTGAGATTTTCTTTTGAATGCATTGTGGTCATCACTATAGCATTACACTCCATCAGGAAACTACCTTCAATTACAGACGCATTTCCAAGCCATAAATTAATCATTTTATAAAAGATCCTCATTTAAATATTACCATTTCATTCATTTCCATTTCTTGGAAAATTGGACATCATCTTTTGGTAAAATCTCATCTGTATTACACTGTATGCAATGGATGCCTACAAGTTCCAGTTGCATCACAGAATGATGAAATTATTTTGCTGTCAGTCGTAACTAAATTGTAACTGTTAGGACACTCTCGCTGCCGTACCTCTTCTAAGGGAAAAATTAGTGATCAACCATATTTAATCAACAACATATCCTTCTTGAAATCTCCCCTATAATCGCGTGTCCCTTACTCCCTGCTCAACCGTTCCAGTATTTACCGGTCTTAAAAACAACCCTCAATTTGGAAAAGGCACTATGAGATTGGGAATGTGCAGACCCAGTCGGTTCACAGACATTTCGAATCAAGTAAGCATACATCTTAGAATTTCATTGTTTGCTGCACAAGCCTGCCATCAGCACCAAACATTGTTGTTGATAGGTGAATTCGTAGTCGAAGAGAAGATAAAGACCCTCAGTTCCCAGATCAATCCAGAAAGTCCAAACCCAAGGCCGTCAAAGCGTCCGAGAGGTGTCTTTGACAAAACAAATCAAAAGGTAGCGCGCATCACTTCCTCTCCAATAGCAACGAGTAAACCAACGGTCGAAGTTTCGGTACCTGTAGTCAAAGTACCGCCACCTAAACGTCAGTCNGTCACAAATGAACAAGAGAGTAGGTGGCAACACTGCACTCAAGGTAATTTGCGCAATTCTTCCAGAACCCACAAGTCAGTCATTGAGGGAGAGGCGACAGGACGAGCTGAGTCGCTGGCCAGTGGTATGTACCCGAATGGGTTTAGAAGCAAAACCGGTGAGCCTCACACGTCTCTGGCGCTAACGGACATCACCACATATCGGAGAACCCCGGTTACTTCGTGTGACGCTGGCCAGTGAAGACGTTGAAAATGTTCTTCTCTCTAGTTCTCTCATCGCAGATGGGTCCAGCAATACCAGAATTCTACCGGACAGACCTTGGACTGAGCGTGTACACTGACGGAACGATCCTAA